CCTGGGGAATGGGCACCTTTAAAGTAACTCCTGTGGAACGAGAAGCTGAGCAGCATTACGATCTTTACACCCTGTATTGCAGCTGCTACATATCCAGCAGAGGGAGCACAAAGTGTTTCACTTCGCTCCAAAGTTACTGAACTAGTCTGAAAATCAATTCATGTCTATGTATGCACTGACCTCAAGTCCAAACACATTCAGATGTTTTGTATGGAATTGTTGATTTCACCCGAAGTCTCCAATATTCTTTTCAATTTAAACAGACTTCTGATAAAAGATCTCCCAACCCCTCTTTATATATTCAGACATTGGCTTCTCTTCCCTATTCAGAAAAGCTTAACCTGCAACCTTCAATCACAGCTCCCCACCTCGTCCCCATATACTTTCTATTTGACAGGTGATTTCCAAAAGCTTAGCGAAAAAACACTAAAATTAGAGTGCTTCCATTAAAACACATTCCACTCAAGAAAGCAGTAAGGCAGTTCTGTCATCCTAACCAGTGGAGCTCCCCTGCCCCAGGCTGTTTAACTAGGAACTAGGTTTCATCTCAAAACGTTAGAAGTGCTTCAGTAAATAACCGCCTCCCCTCCTTAGTGCTTCTGACGCTTGTCAGTCATGTGTTTTAAGTACCGAGTTTCAAGAATTTTCTTGCATTAAAAGTCCAGGAGAAAACAGAAGCTACAGCATAAGACGCATGCAGACTTCAGCAGAGCTTATTCAACAGACAAAATTTTTAAAAATGGTACTGTCTACTGTTATAGTTATCCTCACTGAGCAGGCCTTGTCTGCTTACCCCACAAATACTTGAACTAAATAAACCCTATTAGAACGTTTAGGTACACCAACACCCTGTATACAACCAGAGAAAGCTACAATGGTGTGGTACACAAATACTATTCAGCATGTGCTTTTAACTATCGTATTACTCAAGAGCACTGAAGCTATAGATTATGAGTTTAGCTCAGCTATCACTTACTAAGATTTTTACTGGGTGTACGCCACACGAAATTTATATGCCAGCAGCTGCAATGCTGCATGTTTTATTTTTAAGAGACCCAGCTGTACAGTTAGTCAAAAATGCAGGGAGGATTAGGGGACAACAGCACATGCAGAATGTCACTATACAAAGTCTCAAGGAGAGAGACTTGTTCTGCATCGCTAGGACTCCTTAACGTTTGTTCAGCCTGCCTTTCTGTCCAGTGCCATTTACTATGAGGTCTTAAGGTTCAGTTTTTAACTCTAACTCTATATTCAACTACCAGATTGGAAGGGGTATTCAGATTAGTCTTTTATTCCAACTTTTCCAGTTCAGTAGGAGGCAATTAAGCACAAATATCCGAGCTCACATTCATCTAGCCCTCCACTGCTAACTGACTGAGAAGACCCATAAGGCTGCTCAACCTCCCCACCCAACTTCCTTTGCACCAGCCTGCTTAACTATCCATTTGCACTCCTTCCTTAAGAGAACAGCAACGTTCATCCATGCCAAGTGACAGAATCTTTCCAGCTGTGTATGTCTGAGCTAAGACTAGTGCTGCACAGGTCCCAGAAGCAACTAACCAGTCTGCAAACACCACGCTACTGACCAGTTTGGCCCTACCACTCTTCACAGCTGCACACTTTGAGCCAATGCCAAAGTTGCATATAATTTTGCAGAATGACTATGGTCACTTGACAAAAGCTGCAAACATAGGTTCCAATTTCACAGAAAGATGGAAAGAAAAAACAGTATCTTCCTCATCTTCCACTTTTATTCTCAGCAAAATATGACTACATGCATTTGCCAGCCAAAAACATTGAGTTGCTCTTGGCTTCAAGCAGCTCTAAGTTTTCCTTCTTGTTGTTTTGTTTTTTTTTAAACACAGCAGTCAGGAGTTCAAAAGTAAAAGGTTTAACAAGCTAGAAAGTTTGAGTTCCTGAAGATTTTGGCATTGTTTTAAAATTAGATCATGTTTTGATTAATCAAATGATAGTCCTTTCATTAACTACTGGTAATTAAAATATGCACATTGCAAAATAATGCATCTACATTGCACATGCAAAAGATTGCAGGACAAAACACAGTAATGACCTAATGTTATTACAGTGAAATTGGATGACAAAAGAATGAGCAAGCACTCATCACTTGACAATGTCACAAAAATACATCCCTGTATCTATTCCCTTTTATTCTTTAGTGGATTCCTGAAGACTAGGAAGCTTTGTTTGTTGATAGCTGAATTTAAATACCTCTATTACACAGAGGCTGGCAAGGATTTCTGGGTGAACAGCAATTTAGAAAAAAATAATCGTTAAAAGAACCTCAAGATTCAGATGCTCATTATAAAGATCATCGTGTGCCTGAATAAATGAGACAATATTTTCTGTGTTGAACTATGTGTGTGTTCTAATTTGTAGAAGTGAAATGTGTTCAGCTTGTACCATAAAAGTCCACTTAAAAATAAGCAGAACTAGTTATGGCTCTCTAATTTGTGTAGTATTACCCAAACTCACATTGCAGTATTTCACCTGTTTTGAGACATATTAGCATCAACAGCAGGTTTATATATGCATCCACACTATCTAAATAGGAAGTATCTGGCATTTACCATACTATAAATTAGTGAGAAAAGTCACTGAACTGCTAAAATGCATCAAGCTATTAACAGGTCAGATTTTGAGTCACTGAATGTTTTCTATACCAGTTCTTTACTGCAGCACAACTCCACTACTTATTGGACAGATGACTAACACCAAAATCCTAAGTAACCAAAGCTGGGGAAAAGGGGTTTTAGTGACAGTCACATCACGGGAACAGATGAGCCACTGTGCTGGGTTCAGTCAGGAAAGAGTTAACTCTCTTTACCGTGGCTGCTAGGTAGATGTGTTCCTGGATGCAGAGAGCAGCACTGATAAGTTCTTAGCTGGCACTGGGGAATGCCTGCGCCAGATTCAAGGTCTTTCTCCACTTCTGATCCTGCACCTGCATTCCCAGCTCTTGCTGTCTCACTACAGGCAGTGCTGGGACACACAGTTCAGGCACCTGACCCAAACTGACCAAGGGAGTGTTTCATTCCATAGTACTTCATGCTCGGGGCAGAGGTGAGGAGGGGGTCGGGGAGCCATTACTCTCTCTGACGCCTGCATTATCTACTTTGCTAACTCCTGTGCTGGCTCCTTCGTGAGGGAGTTGGTGGGTTTGTTTAGTTTTCCCAGTCCTGCTATCGCCAATAGGGTTCACTCAGCATCTGCTGTGACAGCTCTCAGGCTGCGATCACTCTTGAACTGCAGCACTCTCAGGCTCTATGGGTCTGACTCTCACTACTC